CTCGGGGTCTGGCCCGTGCCTGCCGGTTCCCTTCTTGCTCCTTTTTGCAGTGGAAATGTATTTTAACAGAGACAACCAGTGGCTTATCTCTTTATTCTTCTTTGGAAAACCAGTCCTGGCTGCTGAGGCCGTGCGGTGGGGTCTGTAACCCCCATTAGTCTGGGGTGTGACCTCCGGCAGCAGAGGTCCGCGCACCTCTGGGCTGATACAGCCTCAAAAGCTGACCCTTTCCTGCCCCGGGTTCTTGGCACAGTACCAGACTGGCCCCGTTGGAGGGGAATGAATCTCCCTACGAGTATGTTTTTACTTCAGTTGCAACTAGCATTCCTGTAAGGCTGAAAGAAGACTGGAGGCTTCCCTTGAGCCACAGATAATGTAAATGCTTAGTTTTATTTCACCTAACATCGTCACTCGTACGTTTTGCATTTGAGGTGGTGACTCTGTCTTTGCTGATGTACCCGGTGCTGAGGAGTCTCGCTCTTCAGCTGCACGCTGCCGTCACGGGCGGCTACGTCTCGGGGACTCACTCCATTGCCTTCATCAACTGTCTCAACGAGCAGATTGCCAAGGATATTGCAAGGTACAGAGACGCTTCCCCTGCTTCCCTGCTTGACTTGTTTGAAAGCGGCTTCTCGTGGAATAAGGCTTTTCCTTGTCCCTCGAGAGGATCTGTACTTCTCTGTACTTTGCACTTCTACCCAGACGGTGCTCCTTTTCTCTTACGCTCCCTCTCTGTGTCACTTACCCACTTACCAAGGGCTGTGCCTTCTAAAAGAAAGCTGACAGTTGCCTCTGAAGTCAACGCCACAGTAACATCAAGCCAATTCTCAATTTCATTTTCAAGACCCATATTAAAGCCGTAGCCCTGAATCTCTGGGTCCTCAGATGGATTAAGCCCCAGCCCTGTGTTTTCTGATCCGCCACAGTCTTTCTTCTTCTCTAGAACAACACAGATAACAAATTCCAGGAGAGGTGTTTATGGAGAGGGGCAAAGCACAGTGCACTGCCGTGAAAACAAATAAAAGACGAAAGTGGTTCACAGCAAACACAGAACAGGCACTTCTGAGGTACCACCTGGAAGCCTTCACCCTGCGCACCAGCCAGATTTCAGGGAACGAGGGCTTTACCTTGATTTTTTTCCCCTTCTTTTAATGCATGAGATACTTTGCATGATATTTTGTATGCAGGGTTTTTTTCACACATCTGTCAGTCCCTGACTCAATAGATGGTTTGTTCAAAGTACTGTAACCACGTTGACTGAGGAAATGTTTATGATGGACCATTAAGTTTCCTGCAACACCTCCTGCGCTGTTTTCCCTGCTACTCTGCCGCTTGCCAAAAACTCTCCATCTTCTGTAAAGTGTTCCCAAGCAGTCGTTCAGGAACTGACAGGCTACTGAAAGGGATTTTGTGTCACCTTAAATACTGCGACTGTATTAAGAAATTCAAGTAGAATAATATCTGCACTGCTTGATGTCTTCTGAAAAAAAGGAGCAACTGTACATGGCTGGTGAAAAGAGCCTCAGTTCCCGAAAATGCTTCATCTTAACAGCTTTGCAAATGTTTTCCACTCTTTGTTCCTTATCTTGCAGGGAAGGGAGAGGAAATAAATCACTCCCCATTGCTAAGGTACATGTACTTGGGTTGTGTTTTTACTGGTGGAGTAATTACTCCTTTGTCCTGGAATTTGGATGAGTGAGCCGTGGTTGTAGAGGATGACACAGGGCTTATACACTCCCACGCACCTTTTTCCTGTGCTGTCGTGTTTATTCTTCCTTTACATTGCTCAGTGGGGCACTCACTCTGATGGATCCATTTGCAAGGGAATTTTCCACTGGTTTTAAGGAAAAGGAGCTCGAGGTTTGTGAAAGCAGATGAGCTGCAGGTAGAATTCAGCATCTGGCTTGTTTGCTGAATCTGTTCTATCCCATTTTATCTGGATTCCTATTAACTTAAAATCCTCAGAAGAAATCCCCGAGTCCACACAGGAGACCTAGCCTCTCCCCTGTGCCTGCGGTGAGAAGTTAACCCCTTTGGGCTGGATGGTGTGGCCACTGCACCTCATGTAGCTTATCCAACACCAAGCAGCCTGTCAGCCTCCAGTTCTGCCTTAGGTTTGTGCATATCCTTTTCTTTGCCTTTCTTCTTATTAATATTTCATCTTGTCTCAATCCAGAGCCTATTTGTGGGTCAGGGACAAAGGAACACACATTAAGTACTCAACCCAAAGATATCATGTATTATGCAGAGGTTTTCCACAGATCACGTTCAGCTTCTTATGTTTCCTGTTCCCATGGTGGCCACTTGTTTCCGCTCAGCTTGCTAGAACAAAGCTCAGGATCTCAGTTAGGATCACAGTATATTGGGACAGCGCAGAAGCAATTAGAAGGTACTCGCCCAAATCAAAAGGTTCCTGCGCTAAAGGGACTTGGAAGTTGCAGGCAGCGAAACCAGAATGATTTGTGCCATGTGTTTGACATGACAAACGCAGCGGGGATAGCTCCGCTCACGCTGCTGCAGTTTGTGGGTCTACAGATTAACTCAAGATGCTCTACAAACGTTAAACGCCTAGAACATGCCGAAAGCAAACAACCTGCGGCCTCCTCGGGTGGCTGTCCTCTCAGGCCACGGTCCCTCTGAGCCACCGGCCGAGAGAAGTCCATCCTTGGCACCTTGCTGTGCTTAAACGTTGAACCCGATCCCACGAGTCAGCTGGGTCCAGGCACTGGTTCGCCAGGGCGCTGCTGGAGTGGCAAGGTGGTGTAGGATCGGCGGGAAGGGCTGCGTTCCTCCCAGCGCCCGGGCTGCTCCCGATTCCTCCCTGTCAGCCCCACCAGGGCCTTTGCGCTCGTAGCTGCGAGGTATAAACCCCTACACCAGGCAGAGAAGGCAGGGCTGATGATGAGGACGTACAAAGGAGCTTAGATATGTCCCAGCTTTCCTTACGGGTCAGAGGCCAGATGTGGTTGCACGTTAGCACCCTGGCCGGGGTATCTTCAGGTCACCGCCATGGGGGAGGCACCTCATGTGCTCCTTCTGCTTGTCCTTGGGGGCACGCTAGCCTGCGACCCAGTCTGTCATACTTTTACAGTTTGTAATGTCTTTTTTGAAAACTAAGAGTTTCTTAGAGTTTGTTTTGTAGTTACTTCCAGGCTGTATCATACCCTGGATGTAAGGATAATAAATCTTTAACTTGCTCCGAGCCAAAAGCATTCTGGAGAGCATTTTGAGTTGGAATGGTTTTAATTCTGTAGCTCACAAGGAGTTAATTTGTGCAGGTTGTTGAGTCGATATCAGTATCTGATAACTCCTGTCTTCTCTGCAGCTCACAGTCATCCAGAATTGTGTGTTCAAAGCACTTGGTACAAAGTAGTGCCCAGTGAGGCCAGTGTTAAAGAAAACCAAAGGTGAAGTCACTAGTGCAGCCCCTTAACAGAGCTGCCTGCAGGAGGGATGGGGCTGCCATCTCCGTGAGAAGGGCCCAGACATTGCTGTGGTCAGAAAACACAACATTTGACCTAGTTCTTCTAAAAATCCACCCTAAGATTGCTTCAGTACTCTTTAATCACTTAAATATCACTTCTGCTGGCAGACCCAAGCAGCTCTGCAATAACAAATCAGCCTGTGACTGAAGGAGGAGGCCAGAAGGAAGGAATTTATTTGGGCTTCAGATTTCTAGGACATTTTGGGTAGAAAAACCTTGATGTTGTTAATTTAACAAGATCCACATTTAGTCTGCTCTGTGGGGGAAGAGGCACAGTTTGACAGCGTAAATACAGGACTGGGAGACAAACCCCTTCGCGTCCATCCCAGCCCTGGTTCTTGTGGCCCTGTGACTGCCCTGGCGCCCCCGCAGTGAGATGGGCACAGGGCTGACGCTGGGCTGGGCTCTTGTGCTGTGAGGCACGGGTCCCCGGCCGGGAGCAACACCCAACCGCCCTGCTCAGCGGGGAGGGTCCCAGAGCCGTGCCAGCAGGACCTGAGCTGAAGCAGCTCCCGCTGGAGGTCACCTTTGCTTCTGCTTTCTCAGGGTAATAATTAACCCCAAATCCCACACCCCCACTGTCAAAGCTGGTGCTGGCAGCCAGGGGCACCATAAGGGAATGTCTTCACGGCTGGGGTGAGCAGTGACCCGCAGCCAGCTGGGGACAAGCACTAACTCCTCGTCCTGTCTCACCCAGGGCCATCATGGACAAGAAGCTGGCTGCCTACGTGACCATCCTGCCAAAGAGCTCGGCCTTGTAAGTTGGGCTGACTGTTCCCCAACGGAGGAGGCAAACGTGGGCTCCCAAGTGGGGGGGGGGGGGGAGGAGGAGGAGGTGGACACCCCACGGCCCTGGGGAGAGGAGGTAGTTTCCAGACACAGAGGGTGGAGATGATCCTCACCTCTGCAAAGTGAACTAAACCTATTAAGGAGTGCAGATGCTCGGGCTGCCCGCGGGGACCATTTATTTCTCGGTTACTTGGCTACACAGAGTTCTAGCAAAGAGCAAGGTGATTTGCAGCCCTGAGGACAGGGCACCTGTTTTTAGAGTATCTAAAAAGAACCCAAGATAGGGACCTGAAAAGGGCTTTACAGTATCAGGCAGCACTTTCAGGAAGGAAGAACAGTAGCTCTAACCTTGAAATCGGTCCAGCCACGCTCTGCAGGTATCCTCAGCCATCCATGCAAAAGGATTATGCTTGTTAGAGGAGTGAAAGAGCAAAGCCCCAAATCAGCCATTTGCTTGTAGGAGCACCCTGGCCTAGCCCCGCTGGAAGAGGGGAGCGGGTTCCCACATCGCAGCCTCCCCGCAGGAGGGGTCCCTCACAGTGCACGCACCCCCCAGGCTCTCCCATAGCCCAGCTGAGGCTGCTGAAATAGGGCAGACACAGAATATCCTTCTTGCTCTTATGCTTCCTTCCCTACGAGCCACCATGGCCGGAGCGGAGCTGCTCCTGTCCAACCCTGCCTGCTTCAGCTGCTGCCTCCTCCGTGCACTGCTCGGGAGACACCGCGACGCCTCCGAATGCCTCCTTGTGCGGGAACCCAGCGTGCAGATGAGATCACGATGGCCTTCTGTCAACATAAATGTTTTGAAAGGTCATAGCTGACTCACGAGAAGTACATCTCCTCTCCTGCGGGGAAGGAGAGGAAAAAAGCTCGATGCTGCTGCGCTCAAGCCTCCCAGCTGCAGCCATGCCACATTCCCTGGGGGCACCATCCCCCGGCCACCCCAGTCCCAGCTCCTTTGCCCTGCTGTCTGCCTGGGGCAGCTCTCTCGAGGCTGGCACAGCCGAGGAGGCTCTGGTCTGTAAAGCTGGAGGGCTCAGTTGCTGCACAGCAGACTTTTGGGGTCAGCGATGCTTCTTGAGCACCACTTTGTAAAGCAACGGCCACGTGCAGAAAGCACCAAGCAGGAAAACTAACCCCCCGCAGGGGAATCGGCATGGCTGCACCCAGAGCTGTATTTGCTGATGCTTCTTTTCTTTTAAATCTAGGTATTTCTGGAAAGGGGAACTGGAAGAATCCACTGAAATACTGCTGGTAAGTGACAATTCCCCACACGGCGAAAATCGCCGTTCCAGGCAGCCCCAGCCAAAAGGGGCTGCAGGGCGGTTTGGGGAGGGTGGCACCAACCTGCCCGAGATTTGGGACAGTACCCAGGGACGCCGAGCATGTGGGCATGGACGTGGTGGCTGGGGGTGGCAGTCTGGCTTGGCCCCTCATCCTGCCACCACAGGGAACATGCCCTGGGCACAAGCCCAGGAAGGGCTCCTGTCGCACCGCTGGCCCTGCTGGATGGGTGCAGCAGAACTGCGCATGCTGGGTTGCTCCATCCCCCTCACTCCTCCCACGGTTTTTGTTTTGTCTTTGTTTTTTATGCTCTACAGTTAGTGAAAACAAGGACATCCAAAATAGGCGAACTGTCCAACTACGTCAGGTGAGGCTCCGAGTCCGAGGGAGCACGGGGTTTCCTACCCAAGGTTTGCTGCCGTCTCATGCACGCTCAGGTTTTGGGAGTCAAGTTCCCTGAGCCTCGGAGGGGGGTTTAAGTGCTCCCGATGTACCTCGTAAGCCAGAAAAACCCAGACACTGCACCAGGAAAAAAAAAAAAAAAGAAAATATCAGGAGGAATATCAACTGTTGGGCTTCAACCGTACCGGGTACAAGGAGGGATTCTCCTTCTCCTCACACAGGTTATTCCCTGGCTGCCTCCCGGCAGGATTTCCTGCGTTTCCCAAGCACTGCGTGGTGAGCGCAGCCAACTTTGGGCCAGGGCCCCTGGCAGTCAGCTGCTGGCTGTGGTAAACCCCAAACTCAAAGCAAAATTCTCACATGGCCAAAAGAAGACGCGGGTGCTTTGAAGTCAGTGGGGAGAGTGGGGCAGGGCTGGCGCGCGCGGCTGGGAGCGGAGACCTCTGCTTCCTGCGCCTGGGAGCGGGTCTGTTCTGCTGGGGGGGCCGTCGGTGCCACTGTTCCTCTGCGTCTGTTTCCACTTTAGATCCATCCATCCCTTTGAAATTCCTGAAATCATCAGCCTGCCGATCGACCAAGGAAACCCTCTCTACCTCAAATGGGTAGAGGAAAACGTCCCACGGGACTAACAGAAGAGTGGAGAAAGCACCTCGCTTTCGGGGAGCCTGGATGAAACGTGCTGAGCCCCGCTGGCCTCCCTGTGCAGGCACACGCAGGGAGGCAGCTTGTATCTTCACGGGTATGCTATAAGGCAGCAGCTTGGGATTGGGAATTTCGTTTGCGCCCAAAACACCCCCTCCTCGGCCTGACCCTGTGCTCCAGGGAGCACCAAGCAGCCCGGAGGTGGTGGAGGCTGAAGCGGGGAAGGGCTACGTGCACCGAGGGATGTTGCCACGTTGCGGATGAGGATACACCAAGGTGCTCGTGTCAGGACACTGCAGCATTTGGGGGCTGTCCGAGGCCACCAGCAGCAAATGCCAGCTGGCAGCCGTGGCCTGGCAGC